AATGTTGGAAATGTCATCAGATACCTGGCTCATATTACCATATGTGGTGGACTTGTGCGGATGCTAAAAAATACTGGACTAAAATCCACACATGGTTGGAAAAAATGACAAAAAAGCATATAGATTTGAAACCAGAGATATTTTTATTGGGAATTTTACCTGAAATATATAGTAAAGACTTGAAATACCTGATTGTAAATGTATTAACAGCGGCTAGGATTGCATTTGCTAAAAACTGGAAAAATGAGAAAATACCATCACAGGAGGAAATCATTAAGAAAATATTGGAATGTGCTGAAATGAGTAGATTGACATTTGAAATTAGAGAACAAGATGATAAACAATTTTATAAAATTTGGGATCTATTCTATCAATGGTTAGACAATAAAATATAGTAATGAAATAGGTAGACTTTTAGAAAATAATAAATATATAAAGATGTATTCTTTTCTTATTATATCTACAAAATGATTCTAGGATAGATCTGGGATGATGATATGAATTGTCATAAAACAAATTAAGTAAAATATGACCATTTTGGAAAACATGAATGAATAAAAGTATAGTCAAATGATTGATTAATAATGATATTAATGTATTTAATATATTGATTGAAAATACGAGATTATATACAATGTAATTATAATTGAAGACTATGAAATGGAAGCACAAAACCATTTGTAAACCAACCGGCACACTGTATGTACATATATGGAAGATGAAATGATGTTTTTATGTTTCGTTTGTTTATGTTTGTTTTAAAAACCAATAATTTTTTTAAAAAAGAAAATGTAAAAAATATTAGATTCTCTATATAACTGTAATAAAAAGAACAGTCACAATTTCAGCCATGATATTGTTCAGTCCTTGATGTTCTCTGACCTTGGTAGACATTTATTACCTAACAAGATAACAATATCTGTACAGACAACCAAGCTCAGAGAGCACCAAGGAATCCACAGTTAAACCCTAAACAACACATATTGTTGTATATGGTATTGTCAGATATTTTCAAATTAAAAACTGCTAGGTGACTTAATTGTGATTAAGGAGCCATGGTGGCTCAGTGGTTAGAATGCAATATTACAGGCTAACCATAGCCAGGATTATGACCATAGCCAGGATTTGATCCTGACTGGCTCAAGGTTGACTCAGCCTTCCCTCATTCCAAAGTCGGTAAAATGAGGACTCAGATTGTTTGGAACCTGCATTACGTATCTGATATTAATACAGTTGAGAAAGTCCAGAAATATTTCACAAGAAGAGTTCTCCACTCCTCTACTCGTTGCAGAATACCTTATGCCACCAGACTCGAAATTCTAGACCTAGAAAACCTAGAATTACACCACCTTTGGTCTGATCTGAATATAGTATATAAAATCATACAATGCAATGTCCTACCTGTCAATGAATACTTCAGCTTCAACTATAACAATACAAGAGCACACAATAGATACAAACTCAAGGAAAATCGCACCAAACTTGATTGCAGGGAATACGACTTCAGCAACAGAGTGGTCAATATCTGGAATACTCTACTTGACTCTGTGGTTTCTTTCTCAAATCCCAAAAACTTTAACCTTGGACTGTCTACTATTGATCTCACCCCTTTCCCAAGAGGTCAGTAGGGGGTGCACACCAACGTGCCTACCATCTCTGTCCTATTGTTTCTTTTACTTTCTTTCTTATATGTATCCATTTCATGTATTCATAACCATGCTTACACTTATACCTGTTATCTTATAGTCGCTTGACAAAATAAATAAAAAATAAGAATAAAATATGCTGACTTTGTAAACCACTCAGAGTGTGCTGTGACATTCTATGGAGCAATATATACAGGGGTGGGATTCTACCAGTTCACACCTATTCGCTAGAACCGGTTGTTAACATTCGAAGCAGTTTGGAGAACTGGTTATTCGAAGAAATTACTGGCCTAATCCTGTAAAGAAGGCAGGAAGGAAATATTCTGGTGTTGCTTACAGAAACTGCCTCTCCGTTAACCCTTATTACATTCTTGGCAGGACTAGACTTGTGTTCTAAACAATTTCTTGTGAACAGCTTTATATATATACCACAAGCCAGGCAAACACCTGGGCACAAACAGATCCCCCCTGATACCTCCAGCTCAAACACACCCCAACCAGGCACCCAGATGAAACCCAGCTTCCTAACTAATGATAGCCGTCCATTTACCCGAAGCCAAGCTGCACTAAAGGCCTCCATTAAAGTAACACAATGCTGCCAGCCAATCAAGATACAAAAAGAGCCAAAAAAACAGACAGAAGATATCAGAGACACCCATCAAGCAGAACACAGCAAACTCCGAGACCAATAAACACAGACCAAGACTCCCAACCAATCAGGATGAAGAAAAAACCATTCTGGCACAGCAATAGGCTGCCCCAAATTTAAATCTGAAACCACTGTAAAAGTCTGACCCACAGACGGACACAATACAGAAGCCTGATGATGGCAGATGAGATTCTGCTGAAACGTTGCTACAACTTTAAAAGAACTACAATGACGTGGGAAAATACCCAAACCAAGCCGAACACCATACATGTAAGTACCCGCGAAAACTTAAGAAAACATATATATATATATTCTGAGCTTCTCGCGGGTATTTGTATGTGGATCTTTGGTTATTCGGGTTTTCTCCCGCGTAAGATTGGAAGTATCTAGGCAATGTTTCGATGAAGTCTCATTCATCATATTCAGGCTTCTGTCTTCAGCTCTGTGCTTCTCAGAGTGATGTGAGCTTGCAGCTGCTTCTTCCTTTTAACTGCTAGTGGGGGTGTGACTTGATTGGGTGGGGGCTTGGCTGTGTTCTGATTGGGTGGGGGTGTGTTCTCATTGGTTGGGGGTTTGGCTGTGTTCTGATTGGTTGGGGGGTTGGCCATGTTCTGATTGGCAGGAGGTGTGTTCTGTTCAGGTGGGGGCTTGGTTGTGCTCAGGTTGGTCTTAGTTACTGGGGGATTTGAGCTGGTGAGCTGTGATCTTGCTGTTTGGCTTCGAGTTCATGGTCGTGCTGCATCTTCATGGTGGGGGTCAGTTTGCTTCATGTATGGCTCAGAGGGGTTTGAAGTGGGTAGTGATGCAGCTGCAGTGCAGCTTCTGGTCTGTGGTAGTGTCTCATCTTCTGTGTGGATGTGAGTCTGCTTTTTACGTGGAAGTGTGGTGGTGGCATCTTGTGTGGCCCTCGTGGGTGTGGGTCTGGTGTCATTCATCATGTTAGGTACTCGTCTGTTCATGAGGGCGCGTTTCCAAATGGCTGGTAAGCGGGAGGTGTCATCTCTTTTATTCATGCTGTGTGGGCGTTTTTCTATCTCTATGGCTTCTCTGATTATTCTGTTGTTGAAGTGTTCGGTTTTGGCGATAGTTCTGGTATTTTTAAAGTCAATCTCATGTCCTGTGGCTTTGAGGTGTTGGACCAGGGAAGAGGTCGGTTCTTCTTTTTTGATTGAGTTCTTATGTTCTTCAACGCATGCACTTATTATTCTGTTAGTTTGTCCAATGTATGTGGTGGGACACGCGGTGCAAGGGATTTCATATACTCCTTTGTTTTCTAACTCGATTTTGTCTTTAGGGGTTCTTAGGATGGTGGATATTTTTCTGTTTGTGCAGAATGCTGTTTTAATGTTGTGTTTTTGGAGGATCCTGCTGATTTTGTCTGTAGTGCCTTTTATATATGGGAGGAGGGCTTTGCCGTTCTCTTGTTCTCTGTCTTGGATTTTGGTTGGGGTTTCTTTTTGGATTAGGTGGGTAATCTTTCTTTGGAATCCATTGGCTGTTAGTATGTCTCGCCAGCACTGTCTCCATCAACAGCGTCTGAGTTGCTCCTGTTTTTCCCCCGTCCCCATAACAACAGGAAAAAAAAACATTTTGAGGTACCTGGGAGCGCCGCACACTGCGTTTTGGTTTAATCCCGAGTGGATGGGTGGGCGTGAGAAGAGCTGAGCGAGCATCTCTGCTGCTGCTACCCTTGTGCTCCAGCCTCGGGCTCTGCAAGTTTGCAAAAGTCCCGGTGCACAGCCCATTCCTGCATTCCAAGTGCCCAGGCCAAGCTGCAGCTGTCCCTCTCTCGCCAGCACCGTCTCCAATAACAGCGGCAGCAGCAGCGGGAACCATGGAAGCATTTTAGCCACTTCTCAGGTGGGGGAACCACCTCCGTAACTTCCAGTGTCTTATAATAAATCTTTATACCTGACAATATTTTCATAATACAATACATTTGGATGTGTAACTGCTTCCAATGTAGATAGCCACAATGGAACCTTTGGGTAGTGGTTTTTTTTAATCTTTCCCCAGATATTAAACAACACATTTCTTACATGGTTCCTTTGGAAATATGAATGTTGTTTAGATTTTCCATCCCACATGAAAGCGTGCCAGCCAAGTTGGAGATCAAAACCTTCTAATACTAATAACCTTCTATTTTCTAATTTAACCCAATCCTTAAGCCAGTTTACTATAACAGCATCATAATATAATTCAAAATTTGGAAGGTCAAATCCTCCTTTTTTCTTGGCATCCTGTAATAATTTATATTTCACTCTGGGTTTTTTCCTCTGCCATATAAATTTTGATATACATTTGTGTAATTCTACAAAAAAATTATTTTCCAACTTGACTGGCACTGTCTGAAACAAGAACAACAATTTTGGCAAAATATTCATTTTTACTATCGAAATACGTCCCAATAACGATAACTGCAATTTGACCCAATTATCTAAATCTTTAACTATAGCTCTGAACTTGTATACTATTAACATATTCCTCTTTGCTAACCTATAGGGAATGCTATTTCAACAGCAAATCCTTTGGGAATTGACTTAATAATAGCCTTTCTGTTTTGAATCTAAAGATTTGCATTTTATTTTGCTCCTTCACCATGCAGTTCACTGCTCACTAACAAAATTCACAACTAAGATTGTTGCTTTCTTCTTTTCCTCTCTTGAGATATATGCCATTTAGAACCATAGAGAAGAGACAAGATTATGGACAAGTAAGAACCCATGATTCTAATGCTAGGCAGTCCAAGATTCAGACTATACCAGGAGATTGAGACACCATTCAAGTCAGGCAATATTAACCATAGATACAGTAATGGCTGGGCCCTAGAAGAAGAAGAATCTTATCATTTGCCTTTGTACAGCGGATGGCATTTTTATTAGTTTTCCTGCTAGTACTACTTCCTCACATGGTGTGCAAGAGTGACAGGTGCAGCACCTATAATCCACACACTCCATATCACAAATACCATTATCTGGGAGACCTTATGGTTGGTGGCATTGTTTCACAGGCTGCAATTGTCTTCAAACAACTCAGATTAAATGAACCTCCCCCATCAGCAATGCCTGGAGATTTTATGTGAGGAATTTTACTTTTAATTACCTTTTAGAGATATCAGTCACTGAAATAGTAATATGTGACCCTGATATCTTACAACATAAGCTAATTACATCTGGTAACACTAAGAAGATACTGAGAAATTTTGTTTGGAAAATATTCATACATTTAATCAACATTCCCAAATCTTGGGCTCCTTCATATTTGTTTCTTTACCAGTTTTCTGAAGATGGGTGGGAATTGAAGCAAGATAGTATCTACTAGAAGTTTAATTTAAATATCTTCTTTTTCTTCCTGTAATATTTCACTTGTCTTCATTGCTTTATCCTGATCAGTCTCTTATAATGCTCCCTTTTTACATACATTTTTTCAAGATTTTGCCCTTCCAATTTCAGTAGTTTTTTTGACTGGGAAATATTTAATCATAATTTGAAAAATCATCTAGAAATGCAATCTTCTTTCAAGTAAGAAACTTTTATAGAAATGCTAAAGTGTGTACGCCTAGCTATTTGCAGAACTTTAAATAGCTATACCTTTAAAAACCATTTATTCTGAGTTCTAAGTACTTTCCAGATTCCTTTAGTTCCTTATTTTAAATATATTAAATTCATTTATATAATCAGACTAAATAATTATAAAAACTTTCACATATATGAATGCTTTTATCCCAATTCTTTTGCCTGTTGGTGCCTAACTTTGCCTAAATTTGCATGGATGATGTCCATTTATATGTAGTATTTATATATACCTGAGTGTGTATCTGGGAAAAAGTTATACACTGCTGTCAATTGTGCAGAGAATGAAGTGTTCTGAAGCTAAACATTGGTATTTTTTATCTCTATTTATATTCTCTCATTGCAGCCCCGTTGCTAAGAATTACCAACACATCCTAGCTATGGCATTTGCTATAAAAGAGATAAATGAAAACCCTCAAATCTTACACAATCTCACCTTGGGCTTCTATATTTATGACAGCTATGACAATGCTCAAAGGACATATCAGGCTACAATGCTGTTTCTCTCATCAGTGGAGAGACTGATTCCCAATTACAGCTGCAACATCCATAATAATTTACTATCTGTTGTTGGAGGATTGGATGCTGAAATCTCTCTTCATGTCTCTACCATCTTGGATATCTATAAAGTTCCACAGGTATTTTTTATTATGTACATGAAATTTAACATACATAAATCCTGTTAGGTAGTTTTAATTGCTACAGAACAAAATATTGTTGAATAATTTCTTAACATCCCTTTCAAGACAGTGTCACCTCTAATGTCTCATTCACACATAGCTCACCTTTTGCATGCTTTATTGTTAAGGTTTGATCCTTCTTAAAATGAACTCTTACATTCTATTTCTACAATATTATAAAAAATATCTGACCATGTGCTTTGGACATATTATGTTAATAAATAGTCTAAATTACATCCTTACATGACATATTGGTTCCACACTACACTTTATATTTCTGGAGTGCAAGGTAAGCAGAAAGGAGAAAGTGACAGAAAGGAAATACTGGCTTTTTGGGGAACAAAATGCAGGAAATTGGGAATCAACGGGAACAGATCTGTAAATACTCAGAACAGGAAGGCTGAAAGGAACATTCAACAAGTCAGACAAAGCAGCTAAAACTTAAAATGAGGTAGCAACAAAATATTGCTGGTTTTAATTTGGGTAAAAGCCAAATAGAAAATGAAAGCAGAATGCATCATTCCTTGCCTGTCAGGGAATATCTACAAATTCTATCAAAATAAGGAAGAAGGATCCATGTTCTTTCATGGATCATGAGCTCAAAAATATACTGAATCTCTCTAAATCATTTTTAATTCCAAAAACATTTCAGAATTTCCTAATGCAATTTAACATCATTGTGATGTTTGAAAGGATGTTCCAATGAATTCTACATTGAAGCACCACCATAGGATTTATGATAAAACAATTCATACATTAAATACAGCAGGAACTGAAATAGAATTTCGACTAAGGTTGAAGGTTGCTTTATGTAAGCACTGGTAGGGTTCTTAAAATATTTTATCTACATTGTAAGGGTTCTATGCATGCTGTTGTTATTTTTCCCCACTTCTCTCTAGCTTATTTATGGCTCAGCTCCATTGATGAATGAACAATCTGCAGAATTCACTTTTTACCAGATGGTTCCCCCAGATCCACTTCAATATACAGGAATTGTCTCACTGCTCCTACATTTTAGGTGGACATGGATTGGGATCCTGACCATGGATGATGACCAAAGTGAAAAATTTGTACAAACTATGATTCCTGTTTTTTCCAAAAGAGAGATTTGCTACTCTTTCATTGAAAAAATTGCCAAATTTAGTGATATAGACGGACTTTATGGTATGCTTCAGAAAGGAGTAAAAATCTATAATCAAGTCATGGGTAGTAACACCAATGCATTTGTGATCTATGGGGAATCCTTCACCATGATATTTTTGAGATGGTTGCAATATATACCAAGTATAGAAAATATAAGAACTAAAGCAAAAGGTATTGTGTGGATAATGACAGCCCAGATAGAGCTGACTGCCTCAGCATTTCAACGTTCCTGGAGTACAGAAATAATCCATGGTGCCCTTTCCTTCTCAATGCCCTCTGCTTATCTACCAGAGTTTCGGTCATTTGTTGCAAAGCAAAACCCTATCTTAAGTAGAAAGGAAAATGGATTTATCAGTCAATTTTGGCAAGATGCCTTTAACTGTGTATTCTCAGATGAGGTTGTGAGTGATGTGCTTGAAGACATTTGTACTGGGACAGAGGATCTGAAGAGCCTTCCTGCCCCTATTTTTGAAATAGACATGACTGGCCATAGCTATAGCATCTACAATGGTATTTATGCAATAGCTCATGCTTTCCATGCCATATCCACATCTAGATATAAACACAGAGCAATGGGGGTCAGAAGAGGAGGAAAAAATCGTAAACAAGATATCCTACAGGTAATACAGGTATTACAGGTAATCAATATCCTCATTTGCCAGAGCACCATGCATCTAAGTATGTTGGTAAGCCTGCATCTGCATTTCATCTGCTTTCCCATCTCCTGAATATGAAATAAAAGCTCATAGCTTTATCAGAATATTTCCTTTCCATCTGAATGTGATGAATTCTATTAAGTTCCTTGGTATGAAGTTTGGGCACTTAAAGTTATATATAAAGTTATATATTTGTGAGCATAATAATGGAAAATCCTCTTGTTTTCCTTCTGAATCTCTCATGGAACTGTGTTTATCTCTTACACCTGTTTTTGTATCTGTCTGTTTGTCTCTCTGACTCTGTGTGTGTGAGAGAAAGAAACAGAGAAATATGATAGCAGTGCTCCAATATTTGAAGGTCTCCTAAAAAGATGAGGGGGTCAAACTATTTTCAAAAGCACCAATAGGCAAGTTGAGAATCAATGGATGGAAGCTAACCAAGGAGAGAAGCAACCTAGAACTGAAGAGAAATAAAAGAGAACAACCAACCAGTGGAACAACTTGCCTTCAGAAGTTGTAGGTGCTCCATCACTGGAGGCTTTAAAAAAGAGCCTGGAAAATCATTTATCTGAAATAGTATAGGATCTTTGGCTTGCATAGAAGACTGGCAAGGTCCCTTCCAACTCTATTGCCTCTATGTGTATGCGAGATTCAATTACAATAAATTACGGTAAAAGATATGAACAAAGAATGAAGTTGTATATCTTTTTTTTCTTCTATGAAAACTATCATCATGGGAATGAGTAATTTAATCTGCCAAAAACTCTTGCATTTTTATTTATATGGTTTAATTATTTATTTATTTGCTCAGCTTCATTACTTTCTAAGAAGAGTCTCTTTTAACAATAGTGCTGGGGACCAGATCTCCTTTGACCAAAATGGCATAATAAGAGCTGGGTTTGATATTATCAACTGGATTGCTTTTCCAAACAAATCATTTCTTCGTGTAAAAGTTGGGAAGATGGATCACCTAGCTCCTCCAGATCAAGGTTTAACTATCAATGATGACCTCATTACATGGCACAATTTGTTCAACCAGGTAAGCTCCAGTTATCACACCTGGTTCTCAATTCTGACTTTTATTCTGGAATCAACTGAAGTGATTCACTTAACAACTGTAGCAACAGTTATTTCTGCCTTATTCAGAAATAGAAATTTTGTTCTCAGCTGTGGTTGTAAGTAAAGGTTGAGCTTGTATGCAGCATTGGTCAAACCAGAGTTTTTGCTTGATACAAGTAGAGTTAGTTATGACATGCTGATAAACTGATAGAGAACTAGTAAAATTTATATAGTGAAATTTATGTATCTAAATTCTTTCCAGGATGTGGATTCTAAATGAGATCATATAGATCAAGTGATTGCCTATATAAGAAACAATTCTGTCTAAATAAGAAATAATTGTGTCACTTTTGTGGCCTTTACTGATCATAGAAATCTAAGAATTTTAATACCTATGTCATTATTCCTAACCCAAATCATACTGGCCAAGGAAGTTGAGTGTGGATTAGAACCCCAATAAAGTAATAGCAGCAAGTGGCCACTCTTAGTCATAGTCCAATTTTAAATGAAATTACCAGATTAAAAAGATTGAAGAGGTTAGGACATAATAAATAATACTAGATGCATGTGGCTTGAATTAGATGAACTCGCTGTAAAAGACACCATATTAGCATATTATTACATGAACCCTAAATACTCTAGTGAGGTATAACAATTACTATATTTCAGCATTAATACCCAAATCTTCATAATAGCACAGTTGACTTCAGGAGTGACCATTGGGGGAATATTAAAATAAGAGGACATCCATTAGTATCACTTACAACATTTAAGATGTCTGGCAGTATATGATAAAGTGTTTGGATGCTCTTAGCTAAATTGAGGCAGGTAATTCTCTTATTTATTTTATCCAACTTTCTTAAAGTAAGCACCTGCAAGATGGTAGCCTCTTCTATTTTATTTACAATAGCAATATTTTTGTTTCTACCTTTTGGAGTACAATATTTTATGGCCTCCTAAACGTTCTGCAAGTTACTGTTTGAGAAATGGAAGTTAACTCTTTTGTTGGAAGACAATAATTTTGTTAAAGAGCTATTTTACTATATTTTATTGCCTTTTCTGCTTCAAACAAATTAATGGGGGGCGGGTTCAAAGTTTATTAATGTATGAATATAAGCAAAAGTGTTATGGACCAGAAAGAGATTAATGTGTGCATTAAATTGACAAAAATGAATGCCTTCTATTGTTATCTTCTTTCATTTCTAGGTGCAGCCTATTTCTATCTGTACTGAGAGCTGTTATCCAGGTTTCAACAAGAAAGTCAAGGAAGGGAAGCCATTTTGCTGCTATGATTGCATTCCATGCCCAGATGGGAGCATTTCAACTGAGAATGGTAAAAAAATAATCATTTGATCTAGATTACCTGAAACAAAATTGCCTAAAATTGAAGTACATGTAGTCTTCAACTTATGATCACAACTTAAAAGTGCTCAACTTATGAGCCCAAAATTTCCATTGCTAAGCAAGACAGTTGTTAAATGAACTTTGCCCAATTTTATGACATTTCTTGCCACAATTGTTAAACGAATCACTGCAGTTAAGTCAGTAACAAGATTGTTAAGTGAATCTGGCTTTACTTGTCAGAAGCTTAGAAAAGCTGATCACATGATCTCAGAATATTGTAACTGTCATGAATGCATGTCAGTTGCTGAGCATTTGAATTTTGATCATGTAACCACAGGTATGCCGCAATAATTGTGAATGTGAAAAATGGTCATAAATCAGTTTTTTCAATGCAGTTGTAACTTTGAACGGTCACTAAACAAATGTTCGTAAGTCAAGGACTACCTGTATATTATGTTTTGAGTTACTCCAGATAGTAAGAAGCTGTGATACATTGATAAGGCATTTCTCAAAGTGTTCAATAGAAGTTCAAACATAATTTGCTCATGAATTATCAGTAGCTATTTCCTGCTTTAGAGAATCAATCTGTCTTTTTTAAAATTAACATCTGTCATTGAGGAATTTATGAAATATTCTTGCATATATGCTCCTCTCTGTAAAGACTATTTAGATCATTTTTTGTTGTCTTTCTTCTTGACAGTTAACTGTGGGGTGCTTTGTGGCAGGTGCTTATCTGTTTGCATTCTAAAGTCCCAGAGTTTGGTGTCTTTATTTTCTAATACTTTGTCTATATTGTTGTTCCCACCAGTTCTTGTTTGCAAGCAAAAGATATTTCTTGAAAATATTCCTTTGAAGGTGTTGTTGATATTTTCATGTGTTTTTTCAAATTATTCCTTTTTTATCATGATAGATATATTATCTACATACTGGATCCATATTTTGGGTTGTTTGCATGGGAATTTCTAGACATTGCATTATGATCTCTGCTATGAGTCTTGAGAATGGTGATCTCGTGTGTGATCCTACAATTTGTTGGTATATATTTCCATCAAACTGAAAGCAGGTGGTGAGGCAAAGGTTGATAAAATCCATGATACTGGGGATTTACATCTTAGTGTATTTGGTATATTTGGACACATGAAACTATCAACATCTTCAAAGGATATTGTCATCAGCAGAGGGAGTATCAAATCAGATAACAGATAATCAGAGTTGGAAGGGACCTTGTAGGTCATCTAGTCCAACCACCCGCCCAAGCGGGAGACCCTACACCATTTCTGACAAATGGCAGTCCAATCTCTTCTTGAAAGTCTCAAGTGATGGCGCTCCCACAACTTCCAAGGGCAAGCTGTTCCATTGGTTGATTGTTCTCACTGTCAGAAAGTTTCTCCTTATTTCCAGGTTAAATCTCTCCTTGTTCAGTTTCCATCCATTATTCCTTGTCTGGTCTTTGGGTGCTTTAGAAAATAGCTTGACTCCTCCCTCCCTGTGGCAGACCCTCAAATATTGGAAGACTGACATCATGGTCCTTCTCTTTACTAGACTAGCCAAGCCCAGTTCCTGCAACTCTTCATTGTAAGTTTTAGCCTCCAGTCCCCTAATCATCCTGGTTGCTCTTCTCTGTACTTTTTCTAGTCTCAACATCTTTTTTATAATGTGGTGACCAAAACTGGATGCAGTACTCTAGGTGTGGTCTTACTAAGGCTTTATAGAGTGGTATTAGTACTTCCCTTGATCTTAATTGTATCCCTCTGTTAATATAACTTAGGATTGCATTAGCTTTTTTGGCAGCTGCTGCACACTGCTGGCTCATATTTAGCTGGTTGTCCACTAAGACTCCAAGATCCCTCTCACAGTTACTGCTATTGAGCCTGGTTTCACCCAGTCTATATGTGTACTTTTGGTTTTTCTTGCCTAAGTGTAGGACTTTACTTTTCTCTACATTGAATTTCATTTTGTTAGATATGGCCCAGTGTTCTAGTCTGTCAAGATCCATCTGGATCTTGAGTCTATCTTCTTGGGTGTTAGCTATTCCTGCCAGCTTAGTATCATCTGCAAATTTGGTAAGTTCCCCTTCTATTCCCTCATCTAAGTCGTTAATGAAGATATTGAAGAGTACTGGGTCTAAAACAGAACCTTGTGGCACCCCACTGCTAACTTCCCTCCATGTAGACCCATAAGACCCATGTAGACCCATTAAGGACTACATGTTGAGTACGGTTTGCCAGCCAGTTGCGAGTTCATCTAGTGATGGTGCTATCTATTCACTTTTTTCTAGCTTACTAAGAAGTAGGTTGTGGTCTACTTTGTTGAATGCCTTGCTGAAATCTAAATATATTATATCCACAGTATTTTGCTGGTCTACCAATTTCGTCACTGTGTTGAAGAATGAAATAAGATTGGTTTGGCATGATCTGTTCTTAAGAAACTGGTGCTGACTGCTAGTTATTACTTTACTTGTTTCTAGATGTTGGCAGATCTGTTTTTTTATTATCTTTTCCAGGTATTGATGTTAGGCTGATTGGTCTAGACTCTATAGTTTCCTGGGTCTGGTTTTTTGTTTTTTGCTTTTTTGAAGATGGGAACCACATCAGCTCTTTTCCAGTCCTCCCAGTACTCCAGAATTTTTGAAAGATATGGAGCAGTGGTTCTGATATGACCTCTGCCAGCTCCTTTAAAACTCTGGGATGTAATCCATCAGGCCCCGGTGATTTGTGTTCATCAAGATCAGACAGGTGTTCTCTTACTATTTTTTTGCTTATTTTAACTTTTATTTCTGGTCTGTCTTTTACAGTTATGTTTTTGGTGGGTTGAACTATAGTTTCTTTTTGCGTGAAAACAGATGCAAAGAATGAGTTAAGCAGTTCTGCTTTCTCTCTGTTGCCTGTTACTTCCTTGCCATCTTCTCTCTTTAGTGGACCGATTGTTTCCTTGATTTTTTTTCTTGTTATTTATTTGTTGGAAGAAACTTTTTTTATTATCTTTGGCTTTTGTTGCAAGTCTTTGTTCGTTTTGAGCCTTTGCTATCCTGACTTCGTCTTTGCAGATTCTGGCTATCTGCTGATATTCTGCCTTAGTTGTATGTCCTTCTTTCCATTTTTTGTACTTGTCCTTTTTTTCTTTCAATTTGCCAGAGAGATCTTTGTGCAACCATGCTGGTTTCTTCTTGGATTTCTTGTTTTTCTTTCTCAGTGGTATTGTGCTGGTCTGGGCTTCTATGATCATACTTTTTAGAGTTTCCCAAGATTCTTGAGTTGTTTTCTCCTTTAGGATTTTCATCCATGTAATCTTTCCCAAGTTCTCTCTGAGTTTATTGAAATCAGCTCTTTTAAAATCCAAGACTCTGGTGTCATTATGTTCTATTGCAGTGGTCCCCAACCTTTTTTGTACCAGGGACCGGTTTCAAGCAGAAAATTTTTGCAAGGACCGGGGGGGGGAGAGAAGAGAAGGAGGCTTCGCTCTCTCGCTGCTCCACCAGCCCAGGAAGAAACTGCTTCAAAGAAGCGGGGGGGGGCTTTTCCTTTCGCCGCAGCTATTCCGAAGCGCCCGTTTCACCCCCATCCCCACCCCGCCCGCCCGCCCGCCCGTGTGCGCGCTTCAATCCACAGTGTCCCGTTCTGCCTGCCTGCCTGCCTGCCTTAGTTTCTGGTTGTTTGGGAGCAGCTTCGGCTGAGAATAATAACTATTTGCCTCTTTTACTCAGCCGAAGCTGTTCCGATTCAACCATTAACGAAGGCAGGCAGGCAGGCAGAACGGAGCACTGGGTTGAACCCCGCACGTGCAGACGGGCGGGCGGGCGGACGGGGGTGGGGGTGGGGGAGAAACGGGCGCTTCGGAGGCGCTGCGGCGACAGGAAAAGCCCCCCCCCCCGCTTCTTTGAAGCAGTTTCTTCCTGGGCTGGTGGAGGAGCGAGAGAGTGACTGAGAGAGCTGACCCAGAGAGAAGGACAGGCTTCGGTTGCTTCCTCCCTCCCCTTCTTTCATTTGTGTCCTTGATCCCCGATCCCAGCAGCATTCACCGAAGGTGAAGAAAGCCGCCATTTTTTAAAAAAAAAAAATTCTTTGCGGCCCGGTAGAGAGTGCTCCGCAGCCTGGTACCGGTCCGAGGCCCGGTGGTTGGGGACCCCTGTTCTATTGCTTGTGTTTGTGTTATGTTGAATTCTAGTATGACATGGTCACTCTCACCCAAGGTTCCTGCAGTTTCAACTCCCTCTATCACTTCTTCTCTGTTTGTAAGAATTAAGTCCAGTATGGCTGTCCCTCTAGTTTCACCCTCTACCTTTTGGACAACAAAGTTGTCAGCTAGGTTGGTTAGGAACTTATTTGATTTCTCACTTGGTGTAGAATTATTTTTCCAATTGATATCAGGATAATTGAAGTCTCCCATTACTATTGTTGTGTGTTTCCTGCATATGTTTGTTAGTTGGCTGGCAAAAAGGACATCTATATTTTCTGCTTGATTGGGTGGCCTATAATGTACACCTATGACCATGTCATTCTTTTTTTTCTTTTATATTGACCCATATGCATTCTAGGAGGTTTTCATCTTTAGTTTCATGCATTTCTGTAGCAATATAGTGGTCCCTTACATACAGTGCAACTCCACCTCCACTTATCTGGTTTTTTTTGAATAGTTTGTATCCTTCTACCAGTATGTTCCAATCATGGGTTTCGTCCCACCAAGTTTCTGTTATTCCAAATATATCATATTTACCTTCATGTATTCATAGTTCGAGTTCACCCTGTTTGTTCCCCAGACTTTGCACAATTGTATATAAGCACTTGAGATCTTTATGTCTGACACTGTGTTTACTGTCTACATAACCTGTGTTGTGCCTGCCTGTCCCTACTTTCTTGCCACCTGTTTGATTAGTGCACATGGTATGGCACTCCCTATTAAATGCTTGGTTTTGGTTGGCATCAAGGTTGATCATCTTACCTGCACAAACATCTATTTTGCATGCACTGGTATCCTTATTAGTTTTAGGTTGCTGGGGACAGAAATGTTCTGAATCCATTAATTCTCTGTCCCCACTGTTCAGTTTAAATGTTTATCCAGGAAATCTGTGAATTTAATGCCAAGTAACTCATCTCTTTTGTACAGTTTTTCATTGGACCAGCTGCAGACATCATGACTAATAAAACCAAAGCCTTCCCCTTTACACCACTCCTTTAGCCACACATTAAACTCTGCTACATGCTGGCCTTTCCCTTTTTGTTCCTTGTATACTGGTAGAACCTCTGAAAAGATAAGCCTACAGCCCCAGAAGTTCATACCCCAAGCTCTGGAAGTCTTTCTGAACAGAAAGTACATCCTTCTGGGACAGATCATTTGTACCAAGATGGATAATAGCATCAACATCACAGTCCTTGCTGGCATTATGACTATCTTAAGAATACGCTTCTTGTCTCTGCTGGCAGTCGCACCTGGTAGACACCCGATCTCTTCCAAAACCTCAGTATCCTTTCCTAAATTTACATCCCTTACAATTGAGTCCCCAACCAGAAGGTGGCTTCTCTTTTTGGATATCTTTCTCTTCTTGTGTGACTGGTGCGTAATACCTGATTCACACTTTCTCCTTTCCAAAGTAAGTTCTTCTTCTAGGACCATGATCTCTGGCTTACTTGAGTTATCATTATCACAACTACCTTGACCTGTCACTTTAGTATCCCTATTAAGGTCAGCAAGGGCATTGTATCTGTTATGCTGGGACACAGCAAAAGTTTTGTGTATATGGTCCACAGCTCTCACCCTGCCAGATCCCATGGTTGTCCTGCCCTTTTCCTGTAGGATCTTTGTGGTAGTGGGGGCTGGTAGCACGGCAGCTCAATAGATGGCTGGCTTGGGCACCAAATTTCTGCTTGGAGAGCACAGATTAGAGATTCTAGATAGGTAATCTGTCCATGTAGACTGGTAATTTTTTTACAAAGAGGACAGTATCCAAGTTTGAAAAGAGTCCTGCGAAAGACACTGTAAAACAAGTATTGCACTAAACTAAGCCGGTCATTTTGAAATAAAATAAAATCACAATCTCAAGTGTGCTTACCCTAAATGTCTTATTGGTATTCTTGGTTTATACAGTAGTTATATTATTCTTGGCCGCTATCTTTCTCCTTTCTACTCACCCTCTGCTTCCTTCACAAGCAGCCAGCAGCTCCTTCCACAATCTCTGGGAATTTGAAATGCAATCAGAAACACAAATCTATCATAAAACCTGCTACACTAATCAAATGCTCCACAACTAAAATCACAACCCAAAACTACCACAAGACAACCTGTGTAAGAACTATTTAGATGAACCCAAATACATTGTAGCAACCCTAAACATCATGAAAAAACAGATCATTTCTACATCTTTCAACAAGATGTAGACTCATGCAACTTTATCAAAAGCTGCCTGACCATTTAACACACTACAGCATAATGAATACAATCCGTGAAAAAGGTAACACTACCATACATGAAAACATTTCAGAAACAACCGATAGATGATTACAACCACATGGCATCATGGTAGTACACAAACAAACTAAAGCCCTCCAAAACATCTTTAGTAAACCAAAAGAACCAATAGACTAAGAAAAGAATACAGGAGGTATATACATACAATCCTGACATTGTATCTCCATTCAGTGTAAGGTTTGTAAGACAATCCTATATAGGACAATCAGGCAGAAGACTAGCAGAGCATATCCATGGAGACCAACTAGAAATCAGAAGACATGATGAAAACTTCTTAATTGCATAAGACATATACAGACTTCACTGTAGTTTTAACTAGGAAACCATGAACATCCTAGAACAAGCCAAGTCCAAAAATGATAGAGAATTCCTGGACATTCCTGAAAACTGACATTCAGATAAATCAGCCATTAACAGGCACATAGAGATACACAACATCTGTGTATCATTTCAAAAGGAATAATCAAAAAGCTAAAAGACCATACCATCTCTGTGCTATCAATCAACATCCAGAAGAGATTAACACCAATATTAATATTATACAAACAATTAAGCAGGAAGCAATATCCCAAGCCAGGAACTACCAACTCTGACAATCAAACAGTAATCAACAGCATTGTAATATTGTTGCTGTTACCTAGTTTGATAATAAAATGTCTACAATAAAACAACCAAATTTAGAGAATACCAAGAACCCCATGGTTCAACCCTGAGCTACAAATATTCTCTTCTGACAGGGTCATTATTTTTCTGGACTCGCTATCCAGGGCTTCTAGTTCATATCTAATTTAGTCCACATATCCAGCTGTGTATTTAATATCTGAAATTGCTGAGGTGTTAATTGCCTTGTTGATTTCTCTTTCACTGAATTTGAACACTGTTTCACTCTTCTGGTGTTGTTGTAATATGCCTGTGCTTCTATTCTTAATGTAGACAGATTCTTCATTTTAAATAAAATTCAAAAGATAAAAAGATAGTTCTTCCGGTTTGCAGGGCTTCAGCGGCAGGCAGGAATCAGCGATCGTGCGTGGTTTCTGCCTGGGCTCGCTGCTGGAGCGCCCCGAGCCAGCTGGCTTCAGGGCTAAGCCACCCCGTAGAGGTGGTGAAGATGGGGGAGACCCAGCAGGGTCGAGGGGAGCTGCACCTCTCCTCCTCAGCTGGCTAAACTCCCTATCCCGAAGGCAGTAAGAGTGGTAAGTGGTCAGAAATGGCCACCTCAAAGAAGCACTCAGCCAGAAAAGAAAGTGCAGGAGGAAGTTAAGAAGTGAAAGTTTTTGGCTGACCGGGACAAAAAGTAACAACTAAGGTACCCTGGAATTTAAATTTTACAAAAGATACATCGCTCCCAAAGAAGAGTCGGAAGCAGCAAACGAAAGTGAAAAGGGAAAGTTTTTTTTTCTTCACTCTCCTTCCTCACGCTGACAACGAGAAGATCTGAATAAAGAAATCGGAAAAATCCGCTTTGGCACCAACAGGTAATTAAACTGGAAATATAATTAAATGCCAAAGGGACAATAAAGATTTCTGAACACTAAAAAATCCTTTTTTGCTATAAGTGGGAAGGGAGAGGAAAAGAATAAGGGCAGGACTTGGAAGGAGGAGACTGCTTGGAATTCAAAAGAATTTAAAGTTAAATATTAACAAGACTTCTAAAGGATACATTTTAACTGGAACTTTGCAACTAAATAGTAACCCCAAGAAGAGAAAGTGAAAAAAGAAGAAAGTGTTAAAAGAAACAGCTTGTGTGTATTTGGATTGTTTGGTGACTTTGGGACTTTTGGAAATCATATTTGAATGACTAAAAACAATTGGGTGCTTGTTCAAAAAAAACCCTCTACAATGGCATCACCTCTGGATGAACTGAATGAACTGGATGAACTGAAAATCGAATTTAAAAAATATAAAGAAGAGGAACAAGAAGGGAAGGGCTCCTTTGGTTCCATTTTTCAATTCTTAGAAATGGTGATTGGTGTCTACAAGAAACAATAAGAAAAGACTGCGCAACAAGAAGATTGGGACAAAGAAGAAGCCATCTTTAATGAACAAGTAACTTTATCAGGGAAAGAAAGGGGAAAGGGGGGAAAGAGAATGGAGAATTTAAGACCTAAAAAACAACCAAAAAGGGGGGAAATAATGTGAAAAGTGAATATAATGTTAGAAAGCAACAGAAAAGGGGAATACAGAAGAGGGAAATAGAGGTGGAGAGACAAGGGGGTAAAAAGGGGAGAGAGATGAAGCAAGGGAGGAAGGATGGGAAGAGAAGTTACAAAGGTTTGGAGCAAGATGTAAAGAAACAGGACTTATTCAGAGATAATGGGTGAAAATTTAACTGAAAAAGCTATTCTGCAAAGGTACATAAGATTGTATTGTTATATTTGTATTAGAAATAATGTTAGAAAATTGGAAATAACATATGATTAAAAAGTGGGATAAAACAGTCAGTGTAATTCAGTGAAACTTTTGTGAACAAAATAAATGAAAAGAAATAAATGAGAGAATTGAATTAGGAAGGAATGGGAACATTTTAATTACTCAATGTTTTATAAAATATAAGTGAAGTGGGGGGAAAATAACTATGGAAAGTTTATAAGTGTTCCCATAGAAGTATGATACCTATTTGAAAAGTAATGTGTAAAATGTTTAAGATTTAAATAAATATTAATATTAACGATAGAATTGAATTGGTATGGATTGTTGTTTTAATTATATTATATATTCATAATTTTTTCTTTTTTTAAAATACAGTGTGTAGTTTTAGAATGTACCAAGCAGAATCTGAACGAAAGTTATGTATTATATTAAGTGTTATAATTTTAGGGGAAAGATATAAAGGCGTCATACTCCAATCAGTGATCACAGGAGAAATTTTGATTAATGAGAAAAGATAATAGACAGCTGAAACAGGACAGACAAAGAATATAAGTATGATGATTTGAAATGAGATGAAATAAATAAAATAAAATTTTAAAAGTTGAAAGAGGGGAGAAGTTATATAGAAAATGTAGAATGCTAATAAGATATGGAATGGAATATAAAAATGAGCATGAATTGGAATTTGTGTCTGCACGAAGAGACGTAACCCAGGATCAGGCTGCTTTCAAAAAAGATGTTTTATGTTTTTATGTTCTATGTTTTGTTTGTTTATGTTTGTTTTTAAAAATCAATAAAATTTTCAAAAAAAAAGATAAAAAGATAGTTAAGTTGTTCAAAATTTATCAAAAATCAGTGAGTTTGAAGACTTTCTAGAAACCTAATTTTTGTTTTAAAAGTTGGTTTATCACTATGATAGGATTCATATTCATGACATGCTTGCAAAATAAACATAAAATCTTTTCTTCTTTTTTTAGACAAAAATGAATGCTTTAAATGCAAAGACGACTGTTATCCCAACACAAGAAAAGACTTCTGTGTTCCAAAAATTGTCAGTTTCTTGACTTACAAAGAACCTTTAGGGTTGAGTTTAGCCTGTCTTGCACATTCTTTTTCCCTAGTCACAGTTCTGGTGCTAGGAATATTTGTAAAGAACCATAACACTCCCATTGTCATAGCCAACAACCGGGATCTGACCTATATTCTCCTCATCTCCCTCCTGCTCTGCTTCCTTTCATTGCTACTATTCATTGGCCAGCCTGGAAAGGTGACCTGTCTTCTCCGACAAACAACTTTTGGAATGATTTTCTCAGTGGCTGTTTCTTCTATTTTAGCCAAAACCATCACAGTGGTTCTTGCTTTCATGGCTACCAAGCCAGGATCTAGCATGAGAAAATGGGTGGGGAAGAAATTAACCAATTCCATTGTTGTTTCCTGCTCCCTGATCCAAGCAAGCATCTGTATTTTGTGGTTATCAATGGCTCCCCCTTTCCCAGATGTTGATATGGTCTCAGTGCCTGAAAAAATTATACTACAATGTAATGAAGGCTCTGTGGCCATGTTTTATTGTGTCCTTGGCTATATGGGTTTCCTGGCTCTTATCAGCTTCACAACAGCTTTCCTTGCTAGGAAGTTACCAGACAGTTTCAATGAAGCTAAGTTCATCACATTCAGCATGTTGGTCTTTTGCAGTGTTTGGTTGTCCTTTGTCCCAGCATATTTAAGCTCCAAGGGAAAATACACGGTGGCTGTTGAGATCTTTTCCATCTTAGCCTCCGGTGCTGGGCTTCTCAGTTGCATCTTTTTGCCAAAATGCTATGTCATTGTGTTGCGACCAGAATTGAATAACAGGGAACAATTAATTAGAAGAAAAGAATGATAAAAATCATTTGTTATATTCTTGATCAATCTTCTAGGAATAGAATTCTGTTTCTGTATTCATAGTAGAAGATTTTGGAAAATAGTACTTTTAACTATTTCTCTATATATATTTTGCCAACTCTATCCCTATTCATTCACTGAAATTTTGATTTCTGTGTCTAAATTATTAAACTTAAGTTGTGGACCAGTTCTCTAAAATGATCTAGGAATGGACCAAGATTAGAGAGAAAATTCTGATAGGTGCTCTAATATCTGTTAAATTGTAATGCATTTCATGGTCTGGTCCCTATTGTAGTATTGACATGGTCTCCTCCTTTTCAGTCTTATGTATTGTTCTGAAAACCCCCAATTAATATGCAATAAACTTAGATAATAAAAAAAGTATTGGTCTTAAATGTATTTTGTAGTTCTAACACTGTCTAACAGAAAGAAAAACAAAAGAGGCAGTCACTCCTGGTTGGTATTGGGATGGTTAACTCACCATCTACTGTATTGGCAACACCAGAAATGATGAATACAAAGTCCAAAAGAAACGAGAATTACTGGCAGGAAGTAATGGCAAGCAACATGTGCAACAGAATTACAACTTATTTGTAATAACACAAATGCCTTTTTCACAAGGAAATGAAAAAACTATTGTATGTTTGGCTAATGAAATATATCAGTAAAGTGTCCCCATAGACCCTAAGTTGTACTTAAACTTATCAACTTTAAGATCTCCACACTTTTGTTCTACTTTTCTACCAACTTAACTGCAGAAGATATAATGGCTAATGGTAGGTTAGAAAAAGCCCTTCAGGAGCCAACAGTTAAGGACAACAACACACTGCAATCTTCAATTGAAAAATGTAGTACCTTAGTATAATAATCACTACCAAATTCTGAATTTCCAAAAAATCCAATAAATGACACATAAAATAACTCTCATAAATGTTCTAGTAGAAACTAACCAAGTAGAAATCCAAGTACGATTTCTATATTGCCAAAGTGATAAGATTTTGTTTCCACTTTTAGTGAATGGTTTGACTTTCTTTTCTTGTTCCTATTGTTTAATCGCTGCTTTAGTTCTGGGTACAATACAATACTCTTAGCATTTTATTTAATAACCAAAACCCTCCTTGAATTCTTGTTTTTCTTCCTCTCTGCTTCTTCTGAAAATTATGTCATCTGAAAGATTTCCTTTGCATCATCTTCTTTTCCTATTTATTTTGTGGCAAAAATTATCATGATGATCCTAGCATTCATAGCCATCAAACCAGGATCTATAATGAGGCAGTAGATAATGGAAAAAATTGACAATTTATATTGTTCTTTCCTGTTTCCTCAAGTAATTCTACAGCATGTTTTTCCATTTTTCTTTCGATCCCAAATGTCAGTGCAATACTCTACCTTTTTCTGTCAGAAAACTATCTGACACTTTCAATGAAGGCAATATTTGGATACTTTGCAAAGCTTACTTATGCTTTGTTCTAACCTATTGGAAGAGCAAGTGGAAAATACATGATTGCTATTTTGTCCATCTCAACGTCAAGGTCAGAGATAGTTGGCTGCTCTTCTACCTAAATTATGCATTATGATATGACATGAATAAAGAAGAATAGATTCATGTAAATAAATATTTATCCTTTATCAAAAATGCTCATATAAGAAAGTCTGTGTAGTAGCAGCACTTTCTCAGATTTGCCTGTGTCTTTTAATTATGCATGTTCAAATTTTGTTCATATCTAAAAGAGGAACTCTAAGGAAGATCACAGCTGATAGAACATTGGGATTTTAAAGAAATAGTTGTGGAAGAAAATGATAACCCACTCTCCTTAGGTTGGACTGACCTCCAAGGTCCCTTCCAACTCTATAATTCTATGCTCTATGTTCCTATTGTGGCCAAGAATAATATATTTCAGTTTTATTTGTTTGGTTTTTACATTTAAATGATTCTCCTCTTGTTATACATATCTTCACAAGACAGCAAAGACAAAGCCAATCATAAGAAAACAAAACAATTTTAAAACAACCCAAAACAAGATCTGCCGGCACTTTGATGTAACCATACCTAAACACCTTCTCCAAATGAAGGGAAAAACATCAAGACAAACTCCAATCCCAACCATCTATCTACCAACTTTCATGATGTGGCCCTCAACCTTCTCAAAGATGCTTATTTGTGGTCCTTCAACTGGCATAAATATGCCATTTTGAATTAGGCCAAAATAGCCTTTCCTATCTGACTAGAAAAGATAATACTTGCTAAATTATAAGAAATACAGCTTCTCTAGCAATTCTTTAGGGAATCAAGCCAAGTTATAATATACTTATCTTCCTATTCGGGAGTCTAAATGACTACATTTAATTATCCTTTTTCAAATCCCTGTGGATTTCACTGCCCAGTTACAAAACTTCTAATTGTGAGATAATTGCTTCTTCACCTTTGAAATATATCGAGATATATATGTATATATACAAATAACAATATCATTTAGGGGGGGAGAGGGTGGGAGTACAGTCAGGTAAGATCAACTGTATCTATAAAGATAGTCTAAGGTTCAGATGTTTCTAGCAGATGAGAGTCTTTCAAGTGAAGCAGTGTAAATCACAAGAATGTTAAAAGCTATGCCTTAGGAGATAGGGAAAAAAAACAGGATTCTTGACTAATGCATTATCCTGAGAATGGCAATTTTATTGGTCCTACTACTAGCATTGCTTCCTCATATGGTGTGCAAGACTGACAGATGCAGCATCAGTAATCCACACTTGCCAAATCACAAGTACCATCAGCTAGGAGACCTTATGATTGGTGGCATTGTTTTTCAAGCTAGCATCCACACCGAGCCAATCACTTTCACTGAATTGCCCCCACCAGCATTGTCTGGCAACTTTGTGTAAGGAATTAAATCACTGCTTGCTAATATTTCTTGCTTTTGATCTCTAGAATAATCAAATGTAGCACTGATTATATAGAATAATCCCTGACTAACTTGAGCATCGTTATGGAGAGGCTTAGGAAAGCTGTCTTTCTGAATACAAAGAAAAAAGAAAAAAAATAGGATAATATATATTCCAATATTGAAAGCAGCATTCCCCAAACTAAAGGCCACCCAAAGTGTCATTTCCAGAATTATCAACAAAGCCCATTCTGATTGGGAATGCTAGGAAATGCAGTTTATGCAGCTTGAAAATTCCCAGATTGAGGACTAGTTTAAAGTTCTTTTACTCTTCTATGTTCCTCTTTCAATGCTTTCTCCTACCAATTCTCTCATCATGACAGTTTCTCTCCTCTTCATGCTTTGGACTTTGTCTACTCACCTATGTCTTCTAGTTACAATTATCCATATAATTTTCCTCATTTCTAATTTTAAAAAAAATGAAATTGAAATTTCACTTATAGGATAAATAAATCCATTTCTCAGATCCTGCATAACTCTTAATAAAAGATTGTAAATGTTATTACTTTGATGTAACACTGTCTTTAAACTTGCCTTGGTGAGTAAAATTGACACAAATGTTCCTAAGACCCAGCCAGATAGGGACATTCCTTTATCACTCAGAGGACACCCCCACTTAGATCATTGTAAGTTTTTATTATAATGACATGGGTATTTCCAGGAACTGAATTTATAGTAGCCCTTTTCTAATGGAATACACTCTTATGTATACGTTAACTTCTACCATTTCCTTCCTGCAACTCTCTGCTATTTGGTGAGTCGAAACCCAGAGCTGAAATTCATCACTTTAGTGCCTGTCTGGGAAAGGTTGGACTAGAATTTTTATTATTGATTAGAATTATTTTCCAAATATTGTTCTTCATCACTGTTTTCCTTTTGGAAAATATTAGGTGATAATTTAGAATTTAATCCTCTTTCATAATAAAATCACACACATATGAGTATCTATCCCTGAAAATGCCACTATTGTTGAATTTTGAATTCTTTTCAGACTTCTCTGTCTCTCTCTGTCTCATTTTTTCCTTCAGAAACTTCTTACAGTACTCTCAATGTTGTCCAGTTTCTTTTGATTTAAAATATTTTAAAAAAATACTTTCTGTATGACCACATTCATTGCTTATATTTTTGATTTTTTTTTTAAAAAAGTTGATGTTTGTTATCCTAACTGTGCCTTTTTTAATATTACAATACTGAAATATAAATACTTGGTAACCAAGTTTCATGAAGGTTCCCAGTGTTACATGCTTGAGTGCACATCTATGTGTGTTCACATATGTTGAACTATGCTGGATCAGGGTGTTAATTTTGAGTTGCCATATTTCAAAAAGACCTATTACCAGAAATGGGGAATTCTGTATCATGAATGTGAATATTTTTTAAGTAAGTACATTTATTAGGCATAACTCCATATCTATCAATGTTAGTGACATGTTAGATTAAAAAAAAAGAATCTATATAGTATAGACATTTAAATAATGGATATCTGTATAACTGAAATGTGAATATAAATGCAAAAGTGAATTACAAATTCTTTACAAAATTATGTGCACTGGCCAACATTGCAAACACATTGCAAAATGACAATTTTTGACAAATATATTTTAAATGTGCATTTTTTTACAAACATTCAGAGAATGTGTGTATGCGTTTTTTTAAAAAAATAAATAAAACAACTTAGTAATACGATAATGGGTGACCAAACCTTACACATGAAAATCTCAGAGAACCCCAAATTAATATTTGTCCATTACTAATTTAGATGGGAGAGGCTCTGTCATTTCATACTGTACATATTTGGACTTCAGAGTCAAAATGCTACAAATGTTACACTGATATGAAAGTCACTTCACTGCATCTTAACAGTATATGCCTGTGGCTACTAGTTTATGATATCAGACAAATGGTACAACTAGCCTGCTCAATTTTTTTTACCTCAATAATTCCTGTCTAGAAACCAGAAGTAGTTCAATATGGAATAGCACTCTCATATGGAGCACAAATCTCATTGTAGCTTAATTCCTAAGAACTACCAGCACATCCTGGCTTTGGAATTTGCTGTGAAGGAGATCAATGAAAACCCACAGATCTTACCCAATCTTACCTTGGGCTTCCACATCTATGACAGCTATGACAATGGTCAGAGGACCTATCATGCCACCATGCTTCTTCTATCATCTATGGAGAAGTTGATCCCCAACTACGTATGTAACATTCAGAACAGCGTAATAGCTGTTGTTGGGGGACTAGATGCCCATATCTCCCTTCATGTGGCCACTATCTTGGATATCTATAAGATTCCACAGGTAAGATACTTTTATCTCTATGCTAATTTAATAATGTTTCCAGTTCCTTGATTATTCTGAATGTTGTATTGCACTCCAAAATATAGTTGAGTATTTCTGTATTTCCATCAGTCATAGTATCATAAGTAGTCCATTTGAATTGAAATCTTTCATATATTTATTTGCAGTTATGCACACTGAGTACATGGCATATCTACCTGTAAAGAGAACTAGAACTAGACTTTTAATTACTGCATGACATTAATTGCTTTTTGTTGCATTTAATTTCTATAAAACAACCCTACTCTATTTATTGTAAGTCAATGAACAGAATTATTTAATAAGAATTATTCTGATTCTGATTCCTACTCTTTCTGAATTTCAGGCTCAATGGCTATATTTTATGCACTGGATATAAACTAGGTAGCTATTTTCACAGAACCTGCCAGATTAAACTAAAACCAGATGGGTAGTTTCATAGTTCAATGTATAATGGGAAAGCCAAATGTTAGCAAAGCATACTGTGTTGGCCAAGTTATTACATTAAATAATAATATGGTTTATTGCTTTGGATAAAGCATGTTGCATGAGCACAGCAATTTTACCAAGCTAACTATTGCTTAATTGTGTTAACTCAGTCTTTTAGTTTCAATAAGATCCATAAGAAATTGAGGCAAGAGTAAACAAACTTCCAAATAAGCCTACAGATAGTGCTATTTTTACACATAACTACAAGTGCTTCAGAAGGTAATTGTTTAAATATATTTCAGTTCAGATTTGGACTGGACAATAGCAGAGAGAGACGGCTTGGTACATTGAAAGTAACATTTGAAGGAAGCAGAAGATGGGCAAATTGTCCTACTCAGGCTTGTCGATATCTCAGTGGCGATTAGTACCACCAAGTAGAGTTTCTTTTTGGAATGCCTTTGAGAATGCAAGATAGACTGCATAATACTTTTATGATATTGCTCCTACCTCAAGGATGTGTTTCAGAAAACATTATTGGGAGATTTTTGTTCTATTTCATATGATTAGATATAGAGGGCTGTAAGAATCAATCTTGCTCTCTATACTATTTATGAAGCCACTAGGTATGATCATCAAGTACTATGGTGGAAGTGTCTTAATGTAGGTTCCAGGATAACAGAATTGAAAGGGACCTTGCAGGGCTTCTAGTCCAACCCTCTGCTGAAGCAGGAAACTCTATACCATTTCAGACAAATAGTTTGTCCAATCTCTTCCGAAAAACCTCCACTGTTGGAGCACTCACAATTTCTAGAGGCAAACCACTCCACTCATTAATTGTTCTGCCAGGAAATTACTCTTTAGTTCTAAGTTGGTTCTCTCCTTGATTAGTTTCCATCCATTGCTTCTTGTCCTGCTTTCAAGTGCTTTGGAGTTGACCCCCCTGAGTTGAACACTGCTTTCATATTGCCCCTTGTCCTTCTAACCAGATCATCAGGAATATTAAACTCTATGTTTTGGTCCTACTTGGATTGGATTGTGGTCTGGATGTGGTAGAATGAATTGAAAATGAATCTAGACCAGTCTAATAGTATGCAGATTACAAGGTTATTCTCAATCAATAAATTCATCTGACCCAAATGAAAATATTTTTCCTCTATGAATCAAGTTTATAATTTAAGAAAAATCCTTAAAATCCTGTACACAATATACTATAGGCATACACTGTGTATATAAATAACATATGTAGCCAGTATATCTTGTTTATATAATATTGATATTACAGTAGGTTGTTTTATGTACTTGTTCATGATATTTACCTCTAAATTGATAAGCAGAGATGCAAATTGAGATTCAGTTCAAAAAAAAATTTGGTGTAGACACAGCTACGTTTGTTTTATTTTCAAGCAGAATGTGGAAAAATGACAAGGATACTAGATCTTTTATAAAACAATAAACCTGCAATTTTTAATCAAGTATCCTCAATTATTACATGGCAAAATATTTTTGGAACTATTTACCCTTTTAAGACAGAAATAGTATAAATTAGGAAAGGACAGCATAGCAGAAATATTTTCAAACTGAGAAAGTAAATAAATAAGCATTTGAAAAAGTAAAATTGTATTAAAGATTGAACAATCTGCCATCTTCCAATCACTTCCTGACATCTGTATAGAAAGGCTGTTCTGAAATAATTCTTTATCTGCTGCTTGTGTATCAACTAAAAAAAAAATTTGGAAGCTCACCCCAATCACTGTTGCATATAGGCATCGGCTGAAGGTATAAAGCTGGCAAGTAATGAAATATGGATCAAACATCACCACATAAGTTCCATCCTTCACATACATATGTGTATGTATGCTGTATTTTGATACAATTAAGAAATAGAAGATCTTCTCCTGTAATGTCCTGAAACTATTATTATTATTATTATTATTATTATTATTATTATTATTATTATTA